AGGCCCGACGCGGAGCCCTGTCTGATCACACAGGCAGCCCGGTTTAGTCCTCACAATGAGCATGAGAGACAGACGAGGCCACAGATTCTGAGGCATAAGTTGACCTGCCCGGAGTCTCGCTGCTAGTAAGTGGTAGCAGCAGAATTCACACCTAGGACCCTTGGCTCCCCCACCCAAGATCTTGCCTCTGCGTAAATATGCACATAAACGTCAGAGCTCTTGGCTCTGTGTCCTGGTGCCACCCCTGTCCCCGTCCCCCCCTCCAACTCCCCCCACCCCAGCCATTCATTTCTCTGCAGGCAGCCCCTTGAGAAGCCACGGGGGAGGGGGGAGCTGTGTTTTAAATCTTACTTTCCGGGTTTTGGACCCAAGTTGACACTGTCTTATATATGGGAAGACGCCGGGACTTGCACTTTAGAGAGTCTGGCAAATGTAACCCAAAATTCTGTCAGTACTTAGCCTGAGCCAACGGCCACAAGAAATTAAAACAACAAAAAGAAAAACTGCACAAAGATGTTAACCACCACATGGAGATTTCACGGAGGAAACGTAGAACCTGGAGGCAGAGGGGAAGATAAGCCAATAAAACTCATCCGGGACCAGCTTCCTGGGGGAGACCCAGGCTTGGTTTAATGCCCTGTGGTCTCTGTCTTTAAAGTCTTTTTTTTTTAAGATTATATTTATTTATTTTTAGACAGAGGTGAAGGGAGGGAGAAAGAGAGGGAGCGAAACATCACTGTGTGGTGGCCTCTCATGCGCCCCCTACTGGGGACCTGGCCCACAACCTAGGCATGTGCCCTGACTGGGAATTGAACCGGCCACCCTTTGGTTTGCAGGCTGGCATTCAATCCACTGAGCCACACCAGCCAGGGCCTGAAATTCTTTTTTTTTTTTTTTAATTGTATTGAATTTATTGGGCGGACATTGTTGAAATTCTTTGTTTTCCCTTGAAAGTTGTATTTTGTAGGTGAAGTCCAACGGGACAATGCGGCTTGCAGGTGAGCAGAGGGGGTGATCTGAAGAAGACGACGCTTTGCATTTCAGCGCCTTTCATGGCACAGTGTCCCCGACTTTTGAACAGGGGGCCCACATTTCCATTTCGCGGTGGACCCCAGACATTGTGTGGCTGGTCTGCGTGGTGAGGGGAACGGCTGGGACTGGAAGAGTGGGTTCCTGGTTACCCCCCTCCGGGCCTCAGTTTTCCCACCTGTGAACCAGGAGTTGGCTCGTGGAGCTCCCTGCTTTTCCGAACATTATGTTGTCCTTAGAAATGGAAAATACGTAGGATCCATCAATACCAAGGGAAGTCAGCACACAGAAAGAAGTACAGTGAGAAAAGCCAGACTCGGGAAGAGGGACCCAGATCACAGACAAGGCGAGAGTTTGGCCAGGCCAAGCCGCGGAGCTGAATGCCTTCTAGGCTCTTTTCTATTTTTCTTTAAGCAATTTGAGTTCACAAGGCAAATACGTGTTCCAGAAGCAGGGGGAGGAAGCAAAGGTGCACCTACATGAACTAGGCCTGAATGGTGGGATTCTAGCCAAGATAAGGGAGAGGTTTTCAGCTTTGTCAGACCACACCCACTTCCTCCCGGCCCCACCCCTTTCCTCCCTTCCTCCCACCCAAGACCCCCATCCTCCTCTCCCTGCCGCCCCCTCCCCTGGGCTGTGGCTGAAGGGAAAGAGGGAGGGCAGGGCAGGGACTGGCGGGGGGGGGGGGGGAAGGGCCGTGATGTCTGAGGCCCTTACACCCCCAGACACAGAGAACCCCTCTGTCAGCGCTGGGAGTGGGGGAGAGAGCGCCGGGGCGGGGAGGGCAGGTGGGAGGGCTGTGGAAGGGGAACAGGTGGGAGCGGGAAGGTGAGTCAACAAGGAGCAGAGCGGAGCAGCGAGCAGGGCTTTGCAGCGGAGCCTCCTGCAGCTGTGTGCTTGCCTCTGCGAACCCCTGTTGCCGCGCCACGCGCCACCCCTCCTCCGGGCCCACACTGGCACTTCGCTCTGGCACCCCAGAAAGTCCTTGCTTTGGGCTCTTGTCAAAACTTGCCTCTGCGGTGCCCCCCAGATCAGCTCACGCGTTCAAAAAGAGACAGGCCTGCTCGAGGAGTCATTGTCTCTAGCCACTGAGCAAGTGGCAATCTGGTGACAGGAAAGCGTTTGGGAGGGACCTGGACGTGCCCCCACCTCGCCCTGGATGGGAGGCCCTCTGAGGTCCCGTCTTGCCCTCTGGGATGGAGGGCAGGCGCCCTCTAAGGTGTGTTCCAGGTCCAGGGCCCTGAGGGAAGCGTACTGAGCCCGAGGTCGCCTTCGGTCACTGCTGCTTCCACGGGGACGCCAGAACACGCTGGGAACGGAGCAGGCAGGAGGGCCTGAGGCTGGGTGGGTCCTCCCTGGGCCTGCGGAGCCGGCTGAGGGACATCTCTGAGGAGCCAGTGGGGTGCGGGGTGAGACCCTGGGGTGTTGTCACCTGGCAGAAAGGCACCAGGGGCCCTTCTGGGAGCTTCCGCAGCTGAGTGGCCCCTGCAGGCCCCCGGCGGTGCACTCTGGGAGATCTGGATGGGGCTGAGAGGTCTGGAGGCGGCCCCGCCCCCTCATTTAGCCACTGCCTGTGGGAGGCTGGGAGCGAAGGGGAAGCCGACAGCCCCCACCTTGGCTCACACCGACTGCTTAACGCTGGGCCTCCGTTTGCTCATCTGAGCTCCCGTCCTACCATCTCCTGCGGTTTGGTAGGAATTCAGTGAAGTAAAGGATGCAAAAGATGTCATGCAAACGAGAGACATTAGGATGCGCTGTTTGTTGAGCGCTCATTTGCCGGTAGTCTCTCTCTCCAGGCATGATGCCGCAGGCTCTCTCGTTCCACTGGTTACGCACAGGAGGTGCATGATGACTGACCCAACGGCAGCCACGTTGCCAGCGCTGGTGACCTGTGGCCATTCACAAAGCAGCCAGCAGCGCGCAGTCAGTGAGCTTGCCCGGCGGTTCCCAGTGTTTCCTGAGGGAGCTGGTGCCCTTGCAGGGAAGATTCCTGAGAATGAAGAGGGTGCCCTTTTCTTCCTTACACACCAAGCGCTGGGTGCACAGGTGATGTGCGGAGTTAGAGTTAGTGCCGGAAGTACCCCTCAGCCTCAAAGGCCCGGGGATAGACTAGCAAGTTATGGCCCCAGTTCCACCTGGGGCCCACGCCCTTTGCAAAGTGCCTCGACCATGCTCCCAAGGGGTGGAGCCTGACTGGCCACCCTTTGAACCTGGGTCGGCCTCGCGACCTGCTCTGGCCAACAGAATGCAGTGGAGGTAACCGTATACAAGTTCAAGGCGAGGCTCAAGAGACCCTGCAGCTTCTGCCTTCACCCTCTTCGGTTGCTGCCCTGAAATACCATGAAAGAACTGGTAGGAGAAGAGACCCTCAGAGGAGGACTGGGCCCCCCGGCGGCCAGCCAAACCAACTAACTGCCCGATAGGCGGCTGAGGCCATCTTGGCCCTCACAGCTGAGCTGACCCTGCAGCTGAGCATAGCTGCTGGAGTGAACCCGGGAGAAATCAGACAACGGGCCACCCAGCCCACCCACAGGAGCTTGAGAAAGAAGAAATCTTGTTGTCTAAGTTTTGAGGTCGTTTGTTGCACTGCACAGGCCAGCTGAAGCCCAGCGAAGGGAAGGGACTTATCCAAGGCCCCGCAGCCGGGCAGAAACCAAGTCTGACTGCCACCAGGGGTCCTGGCCGCTCCCAGAGCCCTTCCTGCCAGCCACCGTGTCCTGCGGCCAGCGTGACCAGCCCAGCCTGACGTGTGTGCGTGCGTGGGTGTGTGTGGCGGGGTGAGACACACCCCCACCTCCCCTGAGCTGTAAAGGGTTGGCTGACATCCACACAGGATTCTCCTGTCCATCATCCCTGGGGGAGGGGAGGGATCATCCCATTCTACAGATGATCAAACAGGCCAAACTGACGGGCAGCTTGTTGACTCGGAACCCTTCCCATTGGCTCCCAGGAAAGAGGATGGCAGGCGATAAAGCTCCCTCCAGGGGTCTGTGCCTCAGAAAGAGGCACACGCACACATACCAAACACATAATACACAGGACACCCCCACAACACACCTATAGCACACACACACCACACACCATATATACCCATAGCACACACGTACATATCACACACACCATATACACATACGTACAATACACATACCACACACAGACACACAGCATGTTGGTCTCTCTCTCTTCTTCCCAGCCCTCCACTTTCAACCAGCCTATCCCAATGGACCATATACTTTATTAAAAATATATAGTTACAAACTCCATTGTCAATCTGGGCTGGGCTCTGGGGCCCGGGGGGACCACAGGAAGGGATGGCCTTTGTGCTGCCCTTTGGGGTCCCACCTCTGCACCCAAACCCAATGCCATCCAGGGGACAAGATGGCTGGCTTTGAGGGCTCCAAGGGACCGGGTGCCCGGGCAGGGGCAGGGGCTAGGCTTGGAGGGCGGGGAGGAGGGGTGCACAGAGAGGGGCTGCACCTCCTTGTCCTGCAGGTACACACGGCAGAAGGTGGATTCGGTGCCTCCGTCTCTCTCCATTTATAGATATTTACAACAGAAAGTCATGAACAACAGGCCACGGTCATGCAAAAGAAACGCACCCCTCCCTCCCTCCCCCCACACGAACCCCCTGCCCACCCAGAACCCCATGATCCCCACCCCCCGGAAGTCCAGCCGCCTTCCCTAAGGTTCTGAGAACAAAGGGGGCATGTCCTTGAAGGGTTGGTGGGAGAAATGGTGGGGGGCCTGGAGTCCCCGAGCCAGCAGCACTGGTGCTGGGGAAGCCGGGCGGACAGGGCTGAGGGTTTCCCGGGCCCTTCCCTGGCTTGGGTTCTGAAGCCAGTAGGGAGGGGGCCCCCAGCTTTAAAGCCCCCACCTCCCTGCAGAAGGTCCACGGAGCCAGGGTCAGCTCTGTCCTGAGTGTGGAGGGGTGTCCTGGTATTTGTGGGAGGCGATGAGGCGGGGCCTGGAGGTCAGATGGCCGACTCCCTGCGGTAGGACACGTTGTCCAGGGGGAGCGTGGCTTGCATGCGCTCCAGATCCAGGTGGCTGCCAAACTCTAACATTCGGATGATGCCCGCCTCCTCCTTGGAGCCTGCCTCCAGGCCCAGGCCCGCGGCCACCGCCGCCGCGGCCGCCGCCTCCTCCTCCAGCTCCTCCTCCTCCTGGCTCATGAGGGCCAGCTCGTTCTCATAGCAGAAGGCACTGGGCGGGGGCGGGGGCGCGGGCAGCACGGTGATCTTGCTCTCCTGCAGTTCCCGGGCAGAGCAGCAGGGTGTGCCGGCCACCTCGTAGGTCTTGTGGAAGCGGGAGTAGTCCACCTTGTAGTGGCTCTTCTCCTCGAAGACCACAGGCTCAAAGCGGTGGCCCCACAGGATCTCGCTGGCCAGGTAGGAGCTGCGGGCCTGGGTGGTCATGGCGGTGGCCTCCACCATGCCCTCGAGGATGACCACGATCTCAAAGTCCTCGGACTCCAGCTCCTCCTTGCCCATGCTGTACAGCGGGCTGTCCTCGTCAATCTCATGGACGATGATGATGGGCGACACCAGAAAGATGCGGTCCAGGCCGATGTCGTAGCCCACATTGAGGTCTCGCTGGTCCAGCGGCAGGTACTCGCCCTCCTGGGTCATGTAGGGCTTGATGAGCTGGGCCCGTACGTGGGCCTCCACGATGTGGCTCTTGCGCAGGTTGCCCACGCGCCACATCAAGCAGAGCTTGCCATCGCGCACCGAGATGACCGCGTGGTGGCTGAACAGCAGTGTCTGCGCCCGCTTCTTGGGCCTCGCCATCTTGGCCATGATGGTGCCAATCATGAAGGAGTCAATGACGCAGCCCACGATGGACTGGACCACCACGGCAATGACCGCCAGGGGGCACTCCTCCGTCACGCACCGGAACCCGTAGCCAATGGTCGTCTGGGTCTCCACCGAGAATAGGAAGGCGCCCAGGAAGCCGTTCACGTGCATGATACACGGCTTGGGGGTCACCGGAGCTGCCCCACTGCTGCCCACGGGGGTCCCTGCCGTGGCCACCACTGGGCTGGCCTCCAGGTCACCATGGAAGAAGGCGATGCACCAGAAAAGGAGGCCAAAAAAGAGCCAGGAGACGAGGAAGGCCGCAGAAAAGATCATGAGCATGTAGCGCCAGCGTGTGTCCACGCAGGTGGTGAAGATATCCGCCATGTAGCGCTGCGACTTGTTGCTGAGGTTGGCGAAGTAGACGTTGCATTGGCCGTTCTTCTTCACAAAGCGGTTGCGGCGTTTCCGCCGCGGCACGTGGGCCTGCCCGTTGCGGCTGTGCCCGAGCATGTCCTGAAGCCGGCGTGGTCACCTGGGAAGACGCAGGGCCTGGTGGGGAGGAAGAAGCCAGACATATGAGACGCTGGGAGGCAAGTGCCTGTCATGGGGGCTTGCCATGGGGACTCTCCGAGGGCCCCAGGAACCCCGGCTCCTGTGGCAAAGCACCGGGCCAAAAATGTGCAGAAAGGGAGGAGCCTGGACCAGCACCCAACCTCCTCCGCCCTGGCCAGCCGAACGTGACAGTGAAGGCAGTTCTCACAACAGGGGTTCAGGGCCCGAGCCAGTGCCTCCAGGGCTGGCCCAGCTCCGGGACTGGGGTCTGCCAGGCCAAAAGCTGACCCACCAGGATCTGGGTCCTAGTCCCGGGCCCTCACGCTGCTCCCCGCAACTGTTCCGAGCCCGAGCTCCCCGGGGCCCATCTTGGCTCCACCCTCCCGCCAGCTGCCCTGTGAGCGCTCTGGTCCCCACTTACCTGCCTGGGTTCAGCCTCTGCTATCTTGGGTCTTTTGGGGGCTAGATGTTCTCCTGTGCTGTCCAATAAGACAGCCACTGGCCACCTGTGGCTTTTTACATTTACTTGAAATTAAATAAAAATCTAGCTCAGTTCCACAGTTTCATTAGCCACGCTTAAAATCCACATGCTTGTGGCTCAAGGCTGCCATACTGGACAGAGCTGATACAAGGCCTTTCCATCACAGCAGAAAGTCCCACTGGACAGTGCCCAGACCTGCAGCCCTGCCTCGGTTCCTGTCCTGTCCCCAAACCTGGTGGGGGCAGTGGTGGGTGAAGACACCAATCACGGTCAAGACAGAGGAAGGGGGACCCTGCGCTTTGGCTCCTGTGTAGGAGTTGCTACTCCTACATCATAGGTGAGGGAGGAGGGGCTCAGAGAGGGGAAGCAACCTACCCAAGACCACACAGCTGGTAAATGGTGAGTTAGAACACCGGTGTGTCTAACTCTTCAGCCCCAGGAGCTGTCAACACTGATGGGTTCCTGGTGTGGAGACCTGGAGAGGCGGAGGTCACACACCTGCTGCCCAGCTGTGTCACCTTTGGGCGGTGCTTGCCACCTCTTTGAGCCTCACTTTCCTCATTTGTAAAACGGGGACCCAAACCCTACCTCGCAGGACCCAAGGAAATAGCAGGCACTTGGTTGGAGCCAGTCGCCCTCCCGCCTGCCTTCCCGCTTCCTGGGAGCAGGAGGACACTGGAGAGGGGCAGGACTGGGCTGTCAGCGTCCCCCGCTGCCTCAGCAGAGGCGGCCCCTCGCCCCACCGAGTGGCGAATGGCAGGTGCACCAGCTGGGCCCACAGAGGGCAGACCCCGGCCCCACATCCCTCCCTTCCACGGGGGTCCCAGCAGAGAGATGAGGTACCGGGGCCCCAGCGGCTGGCAGGGCTGGCCGAGCCTGGGTTCCTGGTAACATTTTGGCCCAGAATTATATAAGGCTGAAAGTTTCTATTTTCTGTTCTATTCTTCTTCCTGATCTAATTGTGCATCTGTGGCAATGTTTATACACTTCCCCGGTTCAGGACAACGCGGTTGCCGCAGCAACCGGTGCGCGCCAACGCTGTAATTTAGAGATCAACAGCTCAGAGTCTGCCTCTTCCCCGGAGAAACGCCCTCTCTCAGCCCAGGGAGGGTGAGCCCCGCCTGCCCCCACCGCGTGGTCATCCCGCCCCTGCTCAGGGTTCTTCCTCCTCCTCCCTGTCAAAGGAGATCCCAGGGTCCCACAGTCCTGGATGGAAGTCCAAGATCCACCCTGTAACTTGAGCAAGTTGCTTGACTGCCCTGAACCTCGGTTTCCTCATCTGGAACATGGGATCAGCGAGACCCATCCGTTTGAAGACCTGACAGGTAATGTGGGCACATGATGCTGGCCCTTAAGGGGTCATAACTGTACCCGGGCACCCTGGGCTGTCTCTGACACCTCCCCCAGAGCCTCATCAGCCACGGTGCCAGGTGCACCTTCTAGGCCAGACACAGTTTTCAGGGAGGTCTTCCTTCACCAAATGGCCCAGTCTCTGCTCTGTCCACTGTCTTAAATGGCCCTATTAATATTGCAGAAGGAACCAGAGCAAGAGCGAATGGAAGATCACTGATTTCAAGACCCTCATTTTATCTCTGAGGCCAAGGACGTCCGGAGCTGAGACAGCCTTGCTGAGGGTCCCAGGCGGAGGCAGGCTGGCCCAGCCCTGAGCCTGGTCTCCTCAGCCCCACCCCAGAGCTCCTGGAAGAATGGCGAGGCGCTCCTGGGAAGAGGGGCCCCCTCCCTGGAGGGCACTGGGGAGTGGTTTGGGGGCCAGGGGAAGAGGCGACATCAGCCTGGCGCCAGCAGGTCCTTGCGCCACAGGTGCAGGTCTCCGGGAGAGAGGCAGAGGGGACAAAGTGCGTCGACCTAGCCTGTCACAGATGAGGCCCAGAGAGGGTGAGGGCCTTGCCCAAGGCCGGGGGACCCCGCTTCTCCGCCCGACAAAGGGATGACCTGGGGGGAGGGGTTCATCGTGAGCTCCAGGAGAGGGCTCTTCACGGGGCGCCCTCTCTCCAGGGGGGCCTGGGGAGAGGGAGACCATCTCCGGTGGCTGAAGGCTGTGGGTTCTCTGCTCACCAGCGCAGCCCACTGTTCCCCACGAGTGAGTAGAAGGGACAGGAGTCTAGGCCAAGCCCAGGGCCGGCCCCAAGGCTCCGCGCATCCCCACCCCCACACTCATCCCCCAGCGTCAGCACTCACCCCCTGCCCGTCCATCACCCCAACCCCAGGCGCCGGCTCCCGCACTGTAGCCAGTGGCGGCACAGCCGATCCCGCCGCCCACTCCGGCGCCTCCTCTCCTGGTCACGGCAACGCCTCTGAGCCCCTGCTCTGGGCCGGCCTGTGCCCACCTGTGGCCCCTGCTAGCTCGGGCCGTGCTCAGAAATGGCCATTCCTGGACGCCCCCGACCCAGCGCCCTCCACCTTGGAGGAGCCTGTGTGTGGCCCGTCCCCCTAAAGCCCCTTGTCCGCAGTGGCCTGCTGAGATAAGCGAACACTCCGGCCACCTGCCAGCGCCTGTGTCAACCACACGATGCCTGGCTAGCAAGTGAAAGATACAAAGCCTGTCTGTGCCTCGTGTGACAACCCCAGGGACAGGGCCGGGTCTCTCTCCCTTGTTTGTCACCTGGGGCTTACTGGCAAAATCACATGGGCCTGAGGGAAAAGTGCAAAAGAGAAGGGGGCACAGGTAGCAAAAGAGAGGCGAGAGGCGATGACAGTTCAGCACCATCCTCTTCTGAACACAGATTTTTACTGTGAGCGTATGCGCTGGGGGCATTGGGGCCCGTCCCTCTCACTGCCTTGCTGGGTGACCCCTCCCCCCTGCCCCCTGCCCTGGCCTGGGCCCCTCCTCCAGGCCCTGCTGCCTCCCGGGCCTCCTTGTGTGGTGGCCATTCTTTCTTTGAGGAACTGACATGGGTGGGACAGGCTGGCTGCCTTTCACAAACCTAACGTCCTTTCTTGGCAACATGAAGGATTGACATGCTGTGTTGGTTACCAAGTTTAAAAAATTTCACCGTGTTTATGACCGCCCCAGATCTGAAGCTCCGAGTCGAGACATCCCTGGGCAGCTAGGGAAACTGCGGCAGGAGAGAGCGGGGAGGACCCACGTGGGTCGGCAGCTGGTCAAGGGCACCGGGGCCTCGGGGCGGTGCTGGAGGGGACGGGCAGGGCTGTGAACCGCTCACTGGCACCGCTGGCTGCCCTCCTGCCCCTCCCTGAAGAGCTAAGGAGGGATCCGGAGGAGGTAGGGAGACGACCCCACTCTGCCCCCTCCTACGTTTTCCCTCTGACTGGTCACACTGAAGGCCTCCTCCTGACCTTCAACTCCCTCTGCAAAAGCGGCAGCCCCAGGGGGTTCCAGCAACCCAGGAGGTCTCCCCGAGCTGCACCCTCACCACGCATGGGAGACGCGAGGGCGTCTGAGACCCGGGCCGGCTCAGCCCACACTTAGTCCCCTAGGGGGCAGGAGGGAAGGGGCAGAAGCCTATACTAGGGGACATCTCGCAGGCCTGCAGGGCCTTTATGCACCTCCCTGTTATGGGCGGGGGCGATGGGGGAGGTGAAGTGACTTACCCGAGACCATGTAGCTCAGCTGTGGGGCCGGCTGAACTGTCACTTGTGGCTGTTCTCAGGGTACAGACCCCCTAGAACTGCCTGGTCTATCTCCCTGAAGCATTGGGGACCCTTCGTTTATCTCACAGGTGCTTATTAAGCCCCCACTGGGGCAGGGCCGGGCTATGGTTTCTCTCCTGGGCTGAAGAATCACAGGTGGGGGAGGGGTGGGGGAAGGGATGTGCACGGGGGGGGGGGGCAGAGTCACGCAGTAGAAGTGGCAAAGCTGCGATCCCATTCAGGTCCGGCTGGCTCCAGGTCCAGACTCATCCTGGTCGCCCGCCTGGGGCCTGGGCTCTGGCTCCCTTCCCCTCCCTTACGACCTGTCCCACCGGATTCCTGCCGGGCCTCTCTCCAGCCCCCCGGGCCCATCCTCCAAAGCCTGCCCTGGCTGCACCCAGCCCTGCCCCCTCGGAGCCTGTGCCCCCACTGCCTGCTGCACCCTTCACTTGCTTTTCCACTCTATGGAAAAAAAGTGCTGGCTGAACCCTCGTGACCTGGCTCTGAGTCTCAGCTCTGTCGCCTCCTCGTGTGTCCTCCTTAGACCTCAGCGGCTCCGTCTGGACGCGGGAGGTGATGAGCGCGGCATCCCCTCCACCCGGCCTGTGGACGGAGACACACGGGACAGCCACGCCGTAACAGACATGTCCGCGGGGGCTTCGCCTGGCATCGCGGGCAAAATGCACAGACTCTGATGAAGAAGATGATGATACTGAGGATCACAACAATGTAAGAAAACCTGGCTTCCAGCCCTGATTCCACCACTAAGGGCTTACACCAAGGTCCCCTTATCTCGCAAAATGGGTAGGGGATGCTCAGTCCCTCCCGATGGGAGAGTGGAGAGGATGTAATGACGCAGGCGCCC